ACAAATGGGAACAGCTTGGTTGGTTAATGAGGCCATGTTGAAGTACAAAAGTGTCCAAGCATCGTCAACACACAAAAAATGTGGAATGGTCCAGTCCAGGTTAGAAGCAGCCTTTTGCAGGCACTGCGAATCGACTCGCCCGTAATTACGCCGGAAATCACCTTGGTCATGAATGGAAACTCGACGTGCCCATGGGAAGAAAAGAGCACAATGATCACTTATCAATAGGTTACATAATAAACAGGTCGACGACATCTAAGGGCATCGGGGAGAACACTAGTTAAGAAGGTGAGGCGTGTGGACTGAGAACAACGAAGGGGGCAAAAATACATGCTGAAATAAGTTACAATCGAGAATAGTCTGAAGTAGGAGAGCATCAAAAGAGCCAAAAGGAAGACCATAATAAGGCAGGTCCCACTTAAAGCCAGGTGCATTGAAGTCTCCAACAATTAAGCAGTCCATAACGGCGTCCGATTTCATTGAATCCAGCGAAAGAGCTCCTGAACTCAAATGTGATCCATAGGCCATACAGATCAGGAGATCTACACTCGTCATGAATACGACACCACAGAGCTTCAAAACTTCTAGAAATACCACAAGTAGCATAGAGTAAGCATGCCATGAGACTATAACGTCGCCACCTGACCTCGCTCAGTGGCGAGCAGCCCGGGAGAAGTGAAATCCAGGAATATATACCTCCAAATTACGGATATCCGGGAATAGCCACGTCTAAGAGAAAGCCATCAAGTCAGGGTGATTATTGATGGTAAGATTTTGAACCTAGTCCAATTGGTTACGCAAACTGCGCACATTAGCGGACAACACAGGCAAACCGTTATTCGACCTTACTGTCCGGGTAGGACAAGGATGGGTCTCCAGCGAGTTCTTGGGGTTTTCCACAATGTTAAGGTCCGTCTCACCATTTGCCCGGCGGGTTAGGAGTTCAACAACTGCACTCTTCATTTTTAGTCGATCTTCAGAGGACAGAACTCTTAGAACATAAAACGATTCTCCTTTAAGACGGGAAGTGCGTCGGGGATGCGCCTGCATTCTTCTTCATTTTGGCGTACGAACTTGAGACTGCAATACTATCAATAGAACATTTCATCAAATGATGTCTCGGGACACCAAGTAAATATTTCAAGTTATCTACAGAATTTTAGCATTGCAATGCCATTTACCCAAAGAGTTGTTAGTCTGTGCATCTTAATCGTAATGGTGCCATGGTATGATACAAAAAAATCTGCAGACCACTGGAGCGACCTTACGAAGGTCCTTTCAAGGTCCTGCAGCGTAAGGACCGCGTTTTTATCATCGACCGTCACGGTAAACGTGAAGCCGTTACAATTGACCGTCTCAACGTTGCCCACGTGGAACCTGAGCTCAACGAAGGCTTTTACTCGTCTTCTGACGAATCAACGCAGCCTATGATGGAAGACTTGACTGCTTCCAACATCCCTGACCCCAAGTATCACGCTCCATCCAAGCCTTCTACTTCAGCTCCGCCGCTTCCCATCGAACGAACTGCCACGTCTTCAGCAGTTCCTCCAATTTGGCGATCCGATAGGACGTCTAAGACTAGGCCTTCCTCTGATTCGCACAAGTCGACTAGGTCGGGTAGACGCGTTCATTGGCCAGCTCGATTAAGAGATTAGCGTTCCTTTCACTTTTTTTATTGCTTTTCTTTTCCCTTTTGGCCAACAACATACGAACCCCTCCAAAACTTTTGAAAACGACAAAAAAGCCGACAAAATTTTTTTTTGAAAACCCAAAAAGAACGCAAAATGTTTTGAAAACCCAAAAAAGAAAAAACGTTTTGAAAACACAAAAAGAGCTGCGTTTTGGCGGACGCCTACCTCATCCGGTAAGTGTCACTTTTGCTTTTGCCCTCGCCCCCACCGTCACTGCTCTTGTTTCCGTTTATCTTCCATGTATGAACCGGAGGAGATGCCGAGGCTGATGCGAACACTTGACCTTCACGAACTCGCGAACATATAACGCTTACGAACTTCCCCCATTTTGTGTTTTTGGCACCGTTAGGGAGGACACGGGTGGGAGCCCGCTAGGGTCCGATCGCCTGGTTCTCCCCCAGCAGCTGCATCAGGTTTCACTACCCGGACTCGCAGAAGGCTGGCCCGCGACGGACAGTCCTCACGTAGATCGAAGGGTCACCCACGGTTTCCCTTCTAGGAGGGGGGAAGTGTAGCGACCTGGAGATTCCCCCGTATGACTGTGTAAACTATTCTAAAATACATTCAAATTATAGCTTTCTTATGTATTAGGGAACTAGGCGGTTTGCCTGTTGGAACGTTGTTCCCGTTTGTTGAAAACACGAACGCCATCTCCGCCTTTGGCGCGCGCGACTCGATTGCGAACGACGCTCTGTCAACGCACTCGACGCCATCGACATTCTCCCTAGCTAGCTCTCTCCGGGTGCCCTATTTTTAGCATTAGCTAACGCTCCTCCCGTCCAATAAACTTTTCCCTAGCTTACTGTTGTGTCTTCTATCCATTATTTTTGGTTGGCCGTCTAGTCGCGTAGCGGATATATAGCGCACGATCTACGCGCTATAAGTTTTTAACTACTTTTTGGTTATGTTATCCATTGGCAAGAAAGCTAATATTATGACTGCGGAATTGTAGGTTGTGTCTAGGTATATGTGGCACACGCGAAATATACACACCATATTTCTTACATAACTACGAAAAAGGTATGACCAGCAATTAAAAGTTCCGGTATCGTTTGAGTAAACCTTTGGAGGACTAATCAGCATTTCATGACATTCTGTAAGGAAAACATAAAAATTTACCTTTTGCAATCTGACAAAATATTGCGACAGCGACAACAAGTCAACATTTTAAACTACCGCAAGTTAAATCAGTTCACATGACCTTACCATTAAGTGTAACCAAACAAATAACAATGAGATAGGTAAATTGCCAACATATGTGGTCCGATATATTTGCAAAAATTATGTTAAAATAGAACAGACATGACCTTTTGCGAATAAGGCCAAGTTTCGTAGCACGTTGTGTGCAGTCATCAAGGAGTGGAGTATGCGTCGCGATAGTTATAGGGAAAATCGGTCGGAAGGTCTGCTGAGCCCCTTTTCAGTTGTGACATAAAAGCATTTTTAATACCATGGCAAACATTGCTTGTTTGAAGCGGTATGTATGGGGAACAGTGACGACTATCACGGTGGCACAGATTGTAGCAGCCTGGAGATTCCCTGGTTTGCCTGTGTAAAATTCTAACCAAAATTCTATAATTGTACACCTAGGCAACCGGTGTGGTTTGTTGAACTGATTGCTGAGTTCGAATGCTTGACTTGCGCATCGCCATTTTTGACTCACAGTCTGTGTG